TGGTAATAGAAGAGTGCGGGAACTTGGAATTGTTGCACTAAAGTCCTTGCCTGGTTCTAATGAAAACCCTCTCTGCTAATCACTTCAGATAAATTCTATCAACCAATCAGATCACTAAAATCAACTATATGCACTATACGTATTGTGAGCAGGGAAAAGAATGTAACTCAGTCACTCAATAATACCAAAAACTTGTGTAACTAAAGGTAAGTAACCTTTCGAAAGAGGTGCGTTAGATTAGGCTGAGGGCTTGGTGAGGCTTCAGGTTACTTAGGTTACAAGTGTTAGAAAAGTTTTGGTCACGTGAGCAAGAGGTATAATGAATAGTGATTTATAATTTATGGTTTGGGGTATATGTTAGCAAAGTAATGTTATTAGGTCACATAGATAAGAGGTTAAACAAATAACTTATTATAAGTTAACTTTATTGAAGGACTTAGATAATAGTGTTATCAATGTGAGCAATTTATTTAATAAAATTAGGACTTTATTATTTTTAATGAAGCAAAGATGAGACCTAATTCTCTCAAGGGCTATTCCAGCCTTTATTTATAATATATTTCTCTTAAAGATACATATTATATTTATTAAACATATCCCCTATATCCTATATATTTCGCATAAGTCATATTCATTATATGTGTTACATACATTGCATATGATATTTGCAACAAATGCGACATATATGACTTGTCCTACCAGTTTGTGTTCTGGAAGGAACATGATCAGTCAGTCACATTACTTGTCACAGTTTCTCTTCCTTATTCCCTTCTTCACAGTATGAACGCGAAATATATTTACAGCATTTTGCTGTAATTTAGTAATTACTCCTAGGTATTATCTAGTTATATCTATTCAGGTAATACCTGACCCAGATACAAACACTATTTATGACGATTAGCAACCTTCTCTTTAATACGATGAAAGAAATTTCAGATATGAATAAAACTTCGCCTAGTACAAAAGCATTTTAAGACCAAAGGCTTGATCTAAAAGAATTCCAGAACCAAAGGCTTAGTTCAAATCTCAAAGATGGCAATTCGAAAAAGCAATTTTAATGTTAGATTAAGCTATGACAAAATGTAGACACAAATAAGAATGAAAAAGGCTTTGAGTGATATTTGAAACTGCTGAAGATAGAAGTTCAAATAGATAATTTAGGTATTTTGACTGTATTTAAATATTTTGCCTATTATAAATTTTAGAATCGAAAATGCAGATGTTTCGATCAACAAATTACAATTTTGAAATCCAAAATATTAACGTTCCTTTTGATTATACATTTTTAGAACACAAAGCCCTGACAAATATTTTGCTCAGTTATAAAATTTAGAGTCAATAGTACAAGTATAGAAATATTTAGCACTGATAAGTGTTTTGCCTAGTCTATATAATTTTAGAACAAAGGTGCTTATAAAGATTTCAATTGTTCTAAAAGTATTATCGGTACATATTTAGAATTCCAAGGCACTAATATATTTTATTTGGTCTACGAACATTTTCTACAATTTAAAACCCTACCTTTTTCACCTAGTCTTATTGATTTCTGGTAATTATCTATTCTATGTAACAATAATTATTAGTTGCAAAATTACTAATACGTATAAATAAAATTTCAATTGAAAATTTAGTCATCTCTTTCTCTTCCTCTGTTGCACTGAAATAATAAATAAAATAGTCTGGTAAAGATAAATAATGATCACAAATTTTTAAATATTTGAATTAGAGTTAATACTTCACTATGTTTTTATATCTGAATAAATTCAGATATAAAAAATATTTTATTATAATTTTCTGACATAATATCAATTCAGATATATATATCCGAATTGAAGTATTAACTCTAGTTTGAATATTTAATAAATTAATAATAATTAAATTATTTTTAAATAAAATTTCAATAGACTAATTCAAATCATGATGATTACTTACCAACTGACCAAGAAATTGAAAGTATAATTAAGTTATCCATTTCTGAAAATACACGCAAGACCATTAAAAATAGGTCAAAGCGTTAAATTGATAGTATGAAAATGTTGGATACTATTATGGTGTCGAAGCGATCTCGAATAAAAGTCAACTTGAAAAAGAAATGACATAATTTTTTTGTGGTATGCAAAAGATTCAAAATGGAAGTACTATAACCTTCTTCCTGTGACAAAAAAAAAAACTGAAATTAGGTAGTTAAAAATCTCTACGATTTAAAAAATAGAGTTTACAAAATTCTTAAGATAGTGCTGGGACTATAATTATCAACAATTATTATATTAACGCAGATGATATCACGATTAATAAATAAATAAAATACAGTTCATGTGCAAAATGTATACTGATATATGTAAATACAAAAAATGTATAAAAATGAATAAGATTTAAAATATTTTTGTTTTAAAAATTAACAAGAAAAAAAATTTTTCTATAAAATCAAATATTTATTTTTAATTTGTTAATTCTAAAGTATATACAATAAATTTTACTTAAAAAGACCTATAATACAATTGATCTATAGTAAATCGAATAGTTATCTATCCACTAAATGATTTATTATTAGTATTATCAATAATTGTCTTTCTTTTCCATTCAATAGTCAGTTGTGAAGTATCTTTCTTATTGCATTTATCTTTAGTTTTTTGAGGTTGCATTTGTTTTAAAGATTCTTTAAATAACTTGCCAACTAGTACAACTTGTGTTTCTTGCCCATGTTGATATTTTTGCGTACCCCAATCAAACTGATTTAAAAGTTTGCCAAGTATCTCATATGCATTAAGCCCTTAAAATATACATAAATACCGATTACTACTAGATGAATAGTGGCTTATAAAGTCTTGAAAAATTTCTACAAATTCTGATTCTATACATAGAATTGAAACACATTGAAATCCAGCATTTGTTGTATTTATTTTAAGTTATATTTGAATTATATATACTAAAGTTTCTTTAATCCTATCAATATGTTGTTGTGGAAGATCAAGAAGATTAGAAGCAGGAGTATTATAGTAAAGATGTCGAAGAGTTTCATGTTGACGAAGACCTTTAGTGCTTTTATATTTTTTTTTTGGACAAAGTGTACATGTAATATGGTCATTTGCTTTGTATGCTGAAATCTTTTTTGTAATATGAATAGCTGAGTGATGAATATGTAAGCTATGAGAATTTTTAAAGGTCTTATTAGCACAGAGAAGGCATAAAACACGTTCGAGAATCATGTTAAATAACTATTTATATACAAATAGTTTTTTAAAGTTAAATTAGTTTTTAAATACTGCTATATATATTTTTTGAACTAACCTACCTATTTTAATAATTCACTTGTAATTACTTGCAATTGCTTTTAATTTCAAAATAAGAAATTGGTTGAAGGTTGGAGAAATTGGTTAGACACCAGTGACGCACTTTAGTAATATTTAAAAAAAAAAAATTGGTGTTATTTTTGTTTTTATTAATAGATTATTTGTGATCAAATAACTCCTGTGCTTATGTAATAACTAATTTTTGGTTACCTAAAAAAAGGCCTAATTTTATATTTCCGCTAATATGTTTACAATTTAAAGCATTTTCTCTCAATATTGTTAACTTAAGATTATATTCTCTGTTATCTAGTCTACAACGATTAACATGATCGATTATCTTCCATTTAGGATGAATAAATCTATGAAACTTTAAAGTTGTTCTCTTATTTTTTTTTTTAATAGTTGTAATAATATAAAAAGTATTCTTTGGTTTATAAGTATACCAGGTATGATTTTTGATATGTTCAAAATATTTCAGATCTGTAAGAAATGTAATTTCTTTAGTTTGAGTAGATATTTTAATAAATAAAGTTATATTAATTTCGACAATTCTATATTCATTGAGTTTGAGTTTTGGTTTGTTAGGATTTAAAATTTTAGACCAGTGAGACAAAACCTCAAAAGAATCAAATTTTTCTTCTATGAATTATTTGTTTCTTGTTCAAAAGACAAAAACATTTTTTAATAAATTAATAAATTTAAAAGAGATAGTTTTTATTTATATAAAATTATAAATATTTATTTAATTAGTTTTATTAAACTGATTAAATTTTTTTGTTAGTAATTAACAAGATATTAAAACTTTGTCTTTATTATAAACAAGATAATTATCATATTACTGAATATCTAGATTATAAAAAAACAAAATTTTAATACTTAGTAGCAAGATGATTACCAATCAAATTTTCGAAGACCTATTATGTATTCAGATAATGAAGGTCATATTGTTGAAGATCTTCAAGTTAACAAAAAAAAACTCTTCCCGACGATCATCTGTATCATTTTTTTTCACAAAAACTGAACTGTAAATTATAGTTAATATAGCAAGAATAATTACAAAACTTCTCTATAGTGATTAAGAACAAGA